GCGGCCCCAGCCCCCCCCCCAGCCAAATCCCCCCGAGCAGCTGCCCCAGGGGAACCCCAAAGGGAGTCCCTTGGGGGTCCCCAGGGGGGCCCCCAGGGGGCCCCCGAGGGGGCCCCCGTGGGGGCCCCCCCAGGGGGCCCCCAAGATGACCCTCGAGAAGACCCCGAGGGGGCCCCCCTAGAAGACCCTCAGGGGCCCCCCCTAGAAGACCCTCAGGGGGCCCTCCAGGGGGCCCCCGAGGGGGCCCCCCTAGAAGACCCTCACGGGGACCCCCAGGGGGGCCCCCACGGGGCCCCCCAGGAAGAACCCCAAGGGGACCCTCAGGGAGAACCCGAAGAAGCCAAGCTGGGGGCCCCCCTGGGGGCCCCCCGGGAGGCCCCCCAGGGGGCCCCCGTAGGGGGCCCCCAAGGGGCTCCTGAGGGGCCCCCAGTAGCAGCAGATTTGGATTCTGCTGCTGAGGGTGTTTCTTTAGCATCTTTTTTGTCTGCTAATGAGTCTGAAAAACGGGTACTAAAGGAAGTAAAAGAAGAAAGAAGAATAAAAGAAGAAAAAGAAATAGAAGAAAACAAAAAGATAAAAGAAGAAAACAAAAAAAATACGCAAAATCCAATTTGCATGCAAAGATCCTCTACAGCCCCCATCAAGGCCCTTTTCTCATCTCACGGGGGCCCCCTCAGCAGCATCTTATCAGAAAGGGGCCCCCTGGGGGCCCCCCTAGGGGGCCTCCTAGGGGGCCCCCTTGGGGCCCCCCTGGGGGTTCGTTTGCCGTCAGCGCAGCAGTTTCTTGAAAGGGACTTCTTTAGGGGCCCCTCTGTAACCCTTTTTGGGGCCTCTGCGGGAGGGGGGATCCCCGAGTCCCCTTTGGGGGCCCCCCTGGACTCTCCTTTGGGGGGCCCCCTGGATTCCCCTCTGGGGGGCCCCCTGGGGGCCCCCTTGGGGGGCCCCTCCCCCTCGCCTGCCCAGGAAAAAAGACAGAGACTTTTCGTGGCTTCCATGGTTGCTGCTGTTTCTTCTTTTGTTTTAAATGAAGTGCAGCAGCAAAACCCCAAAAAGACCCAATCAGAAAACCCCAAGGGGCCCCCCCAACTCGCTTCTTCAGACCCCCAGGGGGCCCCCCAAGGAGGCCCCCAGGAGGCCTCTGAAGGGGGCCCCCCTGAGGGGCCCCCTGGGGGCCCCCCAGAAAGCCCCTGTGGGGAGCTCGCTGAGGGCCCCCCTGGGGGCCCCCCGGGGGGCCCCGCTGAGGGGCCCCCTGGGGGGCCCCCTGGGGGGGCCCCCGGCAGTGTGGGGGGCCCCTCAAATGGGATTTTAGATGAGGAAATTTGGGAGTTGTTGAGGAATGAAGAAGAAGAAAGTCTTGAGGGCCTCAAAGGCAGAATAGGGGCCCTTCGATTTTGGTTTGGAGTTTTAGAAGGAGAGTTGGAGAGAAGTGTGGGGTTTGGGGTGTCTGTACACCAGGGGGTGGAGGCGCTGCTGCAGCAGCTGCAGCAGCAGC